GATGTAACTTCAAAAAACAAAAATTTGACACCTTCAAGGAAAGGATCAATGACCTTCATTAAACTGCAATTGCAAAATCAAAACAAAAAGAAATTACTTTAGTGCAAATCAACAAATTTGAATAAAAACATCAAAACACTCAAAAATCACCAAACATTAAGAGATCGAGAGATAGAGAGAGAGGTTATTGCTTGGAAATGCAAAAAAAATATAGAAATAAATCTGAAAAGATAAAAATAAACGAAATTACCATCAAAATATAGATCCCGACGAGAGGAATTCAACGGTGGATGACCCGTCAAATTTCGACGGGTGGAACACAAAATAAAGCTCCGGCAAGACCACCGTTCTCGAATGAAAAAAAATTGCAGAAACAGATCCGCGCTCGAAACTGAATGAAATCACCACCAAAAGAAAGAGCTCGACGAGAGGAATCCAACGGTAGTTAAACCATCGAATTCCGACCGCCGGAGAGAGAGTTATGGCTCCGGGAAGCAATTTCGCCGGTGAGAGGTTTGTAGAGGCGGGATTTTGAATCTGGGAGAAGAAGAGAGAGACCGTGAGTGGCTAGGGTTAAAACTGATTTTAGAAGGGTATTATAGGAACTTCAGGGTAGCCCAGAGGGGTATGTCAAAATATTTTCTAAATGAGGGGGGTTTCACCTAGAGTGTAATCCACTTGGTAGTTAGTTCTATATAATTTAGAAATGAGGGGGGCCTACAAAATAATCGCATAATATAATTATAAAGTACAATGGGTAAATTACAACTACCTCGCTGAGGTAAAGTGTAATTACAAACCAAACTCTTTTATTTGAGAAATCACATCCATCCCCTGCAATTTGTAAATTTCTTACATTTGCCCCCTGCAAAAGGGTGTTAAGTAAATTTACAAATTTCAAAAAAAAAAAAAAATTTACAAATTTCAAGAGGTGGACTTATTTATTGCAAAATGAGGGTTGTTTTTGTAAATAGACCTTACTTGAAGGGACAGTCGTAATTTTCCCAAGTCCAATTGATCCAAATTCACTTTTGGATAGATTTCAATTGTTTTTTTGTTAATCGCAATTTTTTTTCTAAAACAAAAAAAAGAAAAAAAAACCAAAAAGTTATATATATATAATTGTATAATTATTAGATAAAATCTATTTTTTTTATTTGATAAACATTTATTTGAAATGTTTCCTTCAAAAATAGAAAATTTCGAATATTTTCACAACATACGTGCAAACTATAAATGTGATAAGATTTTCTAAAAAATCGAAATTCTGAAGTTTCCTAATTTTGAAAGGATTCATATTTTTTTTAAATCAAAATGGAAAGTCATTTTCATATTCTAAAAAAATCGAAAAAAGACCAATTTCGATTCTATATGTCTAGTTTTTACCACTATTCACAATCATCGACATCTACTGTTACACGCAATTTTGCAAATATAACCTAATTTTGTTATTCATATAACATAATATATAATCACTTTAAGGATATGTACGCTATTGATAAATTATATATAAAAAAAATTACTAGTACATATCTATGTAGCACGGAAACTTCAACTTCTTGCAGATACATTTCATATCCGACGTATAAGTACACTTGTCGGACATCTTATGGACCATATTGCAATTTTAGAAAAGTTAAAAACATGTTAGAGTAGTTAATTTTCAAATATTTTTATTGTTTGACTCATTATTTGTATAATTTAATGATCAATAATATTTGTGAATAAAAACATATACATGTTTATATAACATATTCATATACTTCTAATATTTACACATTCTTCCTGAGTTTCTGTATTCTCATTTTCTGGACATACCATTTCTTCTTGTCAGTTTTTCCGCTTTCGCGTATCGCCATTTCTGTGTCCAAGCTACATAGATAGACCTAGTATAAATAACCAAATATTATCTTTACTAGAATTTATTCTAGAATCGAATCGAATTGTATGATTTTTTTTTTTTTCTTGCTTTCATCTAAAATTAAAATACTCAATAGATAATACGACACAACCAAATAAATTCAAAAGTCAAAACACAATAATAAAATATTAATAAAAGTTATGAAAATTCGTGCCCAGTTGTGAAAAAAGCCTATTATACATACATGATTGATGAATGATGGTACCTTCAAAATTATACTCTCATCGTGCTCCGGCGAAAAGAAGATGAGCAAGCTGATATCTTCTTCTTCTTCAAATGCATTCTGCACTTGTTATTTCAAAAATTATTTTCTTCAAATGCTGTTATACATCAGTATTTATCTGCTATCGAATATTCCAAATTCAAATGGTTTTGATCCAATAATTCAGCTCCCCTCATCTGGGCTCTACGAAAACAATTTCAGCAGGTCAAAAGTTGTACTCAACATCGATGATTTTGGTGCCAATGGCGACGGAATTACTGATAACACCAAGGTATTAATCAACATTTCGATTATTATTATTAATTTTCTTTTCATTTTTATCGTACACTTTTTACTGCGTGGGAAAGTGTGTTTATTTAATTATTTTGATTTAGTGATTGTGGAATTTTCAATTCGTTTTGGGGGTTTTTGTGCTGGATTGCTAGGGTTCATAATGAGAGAGTTCACATTGTTGAAGAAAATCATGCGTTTGGTTTTATGACAAGTATGTTATAATCCATCAATTTCATTTGGATTATAATGTAGAAATTAACTACAAGCCATATGTTTTTAGATACACTGTTTCGTCGGAAAATTCGAGCGAGCCCTTACTTCTGTACTGTTATCAGATGCAACTTAAGATTTAGACTCTTGACTAAATTTTGTTTATTTCGATCGGTTTTTCACTGAATAAATGAAGGTAATTTTATTCTTGTGTTCTCTTGTAGTAATCGAAAGCATTTTGTATGATCTTTAGATATAATCAGTGAGAAATGCATCCTTTATTTTCCGGGTAAAAATAAAAAATAAAAATCTTTTGTATCTTAATCTTGTAGTAATTTTTTTTTCGATGTTTCAGATTATGCAAAATGTTTGGAAGGTAGCATGTTCGATACCATCGACCGTGAAAATTGTGATTCCAAAAGGGAAATCGTATCTAGTAAAACCTATCGACTTTCCGGGGCCTTGCGAGTCAAATGTGACACTAAGAGTAAGAGCTTAATTCCCTTACAAATATACTTTCTTCCAAAATTGTATTTCAGAACTAATAAGTACTAATATATATGCAATTTATAGAGTGTTGTGTTGTTGATCACACGAAATTTGTATTGATAAAATATTTCAATATATACGAATAGATTTCTGGTACTGTTGTTGCACCCCGTGATCCTGAGGTATGGAATGGTTCGAATGTACATAAGTGGCTCTATTTTCATGGAGTGAAGCATCTCACAGTAGATGGGGGCGGAATAATTGATGGGAAGGGGCAGATATGGTGGGCCCGGTCTTGCAAGATCAACGAATCAAATGTACACTGATCTTATTTTATCGTATTTTTTCACAATCACGGTCATATAATGATTTCTTTATTTTATTTGCAGCCTTGCACGCATGCACCAACGGTTAGTAATGATTGCATTAATTTGATTTTCTTGATTTCCTTGCCTTTTTTTTTTTTTTTTTTTTTGCATTTTGCACCGTGTATTATTCTAATTGTCGAAAAAAATCCGTATGTATTTCTATTGGGATAATCCCCTAATATTGAAAGTTAACGCTTGAGGGGTTTATGGTAATAAATATAACATGGGAATATTTCTTGGCAATTCGAAAAAAACACAATGATTATTGTTTTGTTTTTTTCTTTTGCAATTTACTCTGATTTTTAAGGTCGATTGGAAAATGATGCAGGCGATTACTTTCCATAAATGCAACAACTTGAAAGTCAGAGATATTACTCTGGTTAACAGTCAACAAATGCACGTGGCGTTTACTAACTGTGTGCATGTTGCAGTTTCTGGTGTGAGAGTTACAGCTCCTGCCGATAGTCCTAACACCGACGGGGTCCACATAAGTGCGTCGACACATTTTGAACTCAAAGATGCCATTATCGGCACAGGTTTGTTCTTCGATTATTACCAAATTACCCTTCAATAACGGAGAAACGAAAATTCGTCTGCGTCTTACAAAAAAGACCAGCATGCATACCTTTTCTTGGCTGACTAAATAGCGTTCGTTTTATATACATGCCTAACTAGTGTCGTTTTAAAATGTCAAGTAAAATCATATGTTCTGTGAATTCTTGAAATTTCTAACTTTTTTTTTTTTCTTTTTGGTCTGATTTTTTTTTTGGCAGGAGATGACTGTATATCCATAGTCGGCAATTCTTCACGTGTTCGTATAAAGAACATTGTGTGTGGACCAGGCCATGGTATTAGGTATATATATATATTATTTAATGTAAAAATTGTTCCAATTAGCTATATAGCTTATAATAATAATGTCTTATATTTTCAGTATTGGAAGTTTGGGAAAATCAAATTCATCTGCTGCAGTGAGAGATGTTGTCGTCGATGGGGCAGTTTTGACAAATACCGAAAATGGGGTCCGAATAAAAACATGGCAGGTAATAAAAAAAAAATTACAATTTATTTCCCATATATTTTCGCATTCACACACCTCGTTTAAAACTCGTAAGTCTCTCTCAGGGAGGCAGCGGTTTTGCAAGGAAAATCACCTTCCAGAATATACAAATGCACAATGTATCGAATCCGATTATAATCGATCAATATTACTGCGACTCTCCAATCCCTTGTTTAAATCAGGTATTAATTATTTTAATTTGCTGTAAATATTCTGGCTATACTCAAATTAACAAGAAATATATATATTTTTGTTTGTTACAATACAGACTTCAGCAGTGATAATTGACAGTGTTTCTTTCCGAAACATCAAAGGCACATCAGCAACAGAGGATGCTATCGTTTTGTCATGTAGCGAAAGCCATCCGTGTAAAAAAATATATTTGGAAAATATTCAGCTCGTTTCGTTTTCCGAGATGATTATTGCGCAGTCTTTTTGTTGGGAAGTTTACGGCACTAGCTCGGGTTCGATATGTCCGCCTTCTTGCATTTCGTCGGTATTGTAGATTCCACGTTTATATATTTATAATTTATACATAATCATGCACGTTTACATACGAGTGTGTTTAAAAATGTGTGGTATATATATCTACACACGTGTGCGGTTAGATACGTTGCACTGAGTGTAACATAGAATAAACTGCATTTTTATTCGACACGATGATAAGTCCAGCTCAGCAAGCTTGCAGAAAGACGAAGATGCTTTCGTTTTTAAGCATAGAAGCTTTGAAATCGGCCACGTAAGATATATATTTTGTACTATTGTTCGTGGAGGTTTGCGATGAATATATAAATCGTTTAACGGTGATTAATTAGTAATTACTAAGCTATTTGTCATTGATTAATGTCCAAAACAGATGATGCCTAATTTATTTACTTTCTTTTTGGATTGGCAAAATGTCGAAAATACACTAGAGTATTACAAATTCACCAAGAACACACACTAGAAAAAACTGAAACTGTTTTTTCATCAACTCTTCGGTCGTTGGTAGCTTGAGCTGCTCCATTCTCTACCGTTTGAGCTTGAGCTCCTCTCGATCAATACATTCTTCAGCTTCTAGAAGACTGAATCACAGATCAACCTGCATATATCACTATTTCAAACAAATACCAACATTCTAGAAATTTCGACACAAAATTAGGTGTCCCTAATAATGAATTAGTCCAAGACTGCAGAAAGTATAAGAAAAGAATGATTCTATTAATAAATTAAAGGATAGATTCTTACCTAACAAACTTAGCTTCCCAAATAATTGGCACCCTCTCCCCAAATATGTATCATTTTTAGACAAAAAAGATTAAATATTTTAGGCAAAAATAAATGAATAAATAATGTTTAAATATTTACCTAACGAGCTATATATAGACTACTTTTAGGTATTCTCTTATTAGGTAGAGATACTTAATTTGTGGCAATGATAATAACACTAATAATTAATTATTTAATACAATTAAACAATCATGTAGCTCAAACTTGTCATCTATAAATAATGTATTAATTCCCTCTCTCTATGCATTGCAAGTAGTAGAGTTTCACAAAATCAGCATCCACAAAGAAAAAAAAAAGAATATGAATATGGATTTAAGGGACAAGCCCGCGGCGGTGGACGGACGACGAGGCGGTGGGAAAGTGGCGGCGCCGCCGCCGCCAAAGAAGGCGGAGAAGAAGTCAACGGAGGACATCAATGAAAGTGCAGAGGCATTCATAAGGAGATTTAGGCAGCAACTTCTTCTGCAGAGAATGGAGTCAATAATAGAGAACAACTATGATCAAATGCTTAAAAGGGGTGCTTACTAGTTAATTAATTACTAGCAAATAATTTCTCACTTGGAGAAATTTTAATTATTATGAACTATGCTTAAAAACATTTCACTTCTTCGTAGTTTAGTCGAGCAAAGTTTGGATAAAAATTAAAAATATAAAGTATTTATGTATGTATACTAGTGATTTGACCCGTGCGATGCACGTGAATTTATAAAAAATGTTAGGCAGATTACAGTTCAAGTTATTTAAGCAATTCCGTCGAAAACCGTGTGTTATTTTATATCGGTCCCTAGATTATATATATACAAGTATTTTTGTATGCATATGTATGTACGCATGTCAATGATATTAAAGTAGTCTATGAAATAAATTTGTTTTCCATTGATTTACTAACATAAGTAATATATATAAAGAATTTGTGCTAATTGGTCTTGATTTCTTTTTTCCTCTATAGTATTTTCCCTTATTGATAAGTTATTGAATTGGTTATATATTTTATCTCCATTCAAAGAGTAGTGTATGTGATGCTGCTCAAATGTCGATCGGGCAACTCAAGAATCTTTGAATCCGTAATAGTAGAGAATGCCGAATATTACTGCCACGTGTTTGAAGTAGTTAAAGGAAAATGTCCGCTTATTATTGCTCAGATGCGGATTAAACGACCAAAAAGTATTTGAATCCGTAAGAATAGAGATCCACTTGTTAATAAACAAATATATATTGAATTTGGTTGAATAAATAACAAGTAAATTAACAAATATGGAAAAAGTATAACCCATGCCCATGATAAAAAAATGCGATTAATTTTGAAGGTGGCTACTAAAAATTAAAAAGAAGATTTTATTCTTAAAATACTACAAATTAGGACGTAATTATTGCTGGGTTATAGCTTTTAAAAAAAAATCACATTTAATTGACTGATAATTAATTAGCCAATATAGAATTAATTAAATCTATAACAATCCAAATTATTATTTTTATTATAACCCAGAGCCGAATTAAATCAATCCAAATTAATTTGACTTATAATAGCCAGGTCTTGGAAAATCTTGTTCTCGCCTGGAACAATTTCAAAACTACATCCAAACACCCCCATATAAACAAACAAGCCCAATTCCCAAATTGTTAAAAATAAAAGCCCTAGCTCCCCTAAAACCCTTGTCTTGGCTTACAGACACCAACCCAGAAAGAGAGTGCGAGCAAATTCAAATAAAACAACAGAACAAATCGTTCGTTGCTCAAATGGCTCAAATGGAAGAGATAACGGAGGGTGTGAACAAGATAAACATCGCCGATTCCCCGAAGAAGAACCGTATTCAAGTCTCCAATACTAAGAAGCCCCTCTTCTTTTACGTTAATCTCTCCAAGGTACTTGAATTTTTTTTTTTTTCTGTATCTGTAATTGATTGTTCGAATTGGGATTCCGATTTTAAAATTAGGGTTTTTTTTTATTGATTCGAGCTGTATTTTTTTTTCTAGAGATACTTGCAGCAGAACGATGAGGTCGAGCTTTCAGCACTTGGAATGGGTAAATTTCCAGCTATTTGGAATAATTGAGTGTGGTTTTTCTATTATTTCCGGATATATGTGCATTTCGAATCTATGATTTTGAAGGAATGTGTTTATTATATCCGGTTGTAATTTGCTTTTGGCAATTTATATAGTTGAAGAGTTTTATGGACTAGCAATTTATTGATGCGATGAATGGCACGTCGATTAAGGAATGTCCCCGTGTTTTTATCGTTCCTTGCCATTACTTGTTTTCGATTGTTTTTGTGTCCTTCGTTCGTTTTTAAATTTTAATACAAGGCATAAAGGTTGTGGATTTTTGAGAAATGTACTGCAAAATACGTGCAAGCTTGTAATGGAGCTCTTTAGTCTCTTAGTCGATGATGTTTACTCCGTTGTTTTTCATACATTGATAGAACGAAACTGTTCGACGTGCTTGATTTATTCACAGCAAGATATACCGAGAAATTTCTTAAAACAATTTACATGCCAATAAATGACATTTCTCCTTCCTAAACCAATATTTGACAATCTGAACCTCAATGGATCTAGAAATTAAGTATTCTACATTTTCCGATACTGTTGTGGATTACCTGACTGCACTCGTTCTTAATTTTTGTAGCTCTTTTATATATTTTTTTTGGCTGATTTTCTAATTCAACCATGTTATTGCAGCTATTTCAACAGTTGTTTCAATTGCTGAAATCCTGAAGAACAATGGATTTGCTGTTGAGAAGAGTGAGTTTCCGAAAAGCTATTCTTACCTCATTACTAATTTTAACTTCAAATTTAATATTACGAAAACATCACACAGTTCAGGACATTGAATGAAATTTATCTCCGTCTAAAACATGTAGAAATCACAACATCCACCGTGGAGATAAAGGATGATTCAAGAGGAAGGCCCGTCCAGAAAGCCAAGGTGAGTTTTAGTATCCTTTCAAAGAATAAGAGTTCTTTATGTGGTCGATGAGTCTACTCTGTTGTGTTCATAATAAGCTCTAAAACATCTTCTGATATGTCTCTTCAACAAGAATCGTCATTTATCTACTGATATTTCTATGTTTGTGAATGGAGCTTCATATGATTATTATGACGATTCTGTTACTACCCAAGTAATATATACATAAAATATATAGTCTTTGAACCTTATATATCTGGGTTTTTTTTTTTTTTTTTTTTTTTTTTTTTATTGTATACAGATTGAGATAGTTCTTGGGAAGACAGCAAATTTCGATGAATTAATGGCTGCAGCCGCACAAGAGAGTGCAGAAAATGGAAACGGTGAAGATTAGGGCTGACATCATATGTACGTCTTCATGAGTTGTATCGTGTAGAACGGAATTAAGACGGTCACAATAGTCGTTCTGGTTCTAATTTTGTAACAAATGTTTTCTTGAACGGGTTGTTTGAGCTCTCCTTTTTTTATTTAATTTATGTTTCATTTTGTTCAATATTCTTTAAATGAAGCTTGTTCGATTAATCCCATAATTTTAGCAGGTATATTTATCTGCAAACTAAAGTATCAAAGCAAATAAAAATGACTATGATTATATAGACGAATTCTTGTTATGATATTGAATCATTAACATGTAAGCATCATGTCAGGAGTGTATAATATAATTTCCCACAAATACTAAACACTCGAAAAGAAACGAAAAATTTTATACCAGCCAATTGCTGTTTCGATTTATAATGCCTCGTATACGAAAGCCCGTTTTCGTTTAATACGTATCCAATCCATTAACACGAAAATTAGATTCTCCAAACATCTAACCAGTTGAGTATGGACCTTACTTCCTTCACATAGAACAATCAGTCACACCTGCACGAAGAACCATTTACACCAATTAGAACATAAAGATGTGACATATATAGTTGTAACTGTTAAGGCCTCGCGGTTGAGGAGATTAATCATTATTAACTAAATAATTGGACTTTGTTTGATGTTTGGTAGCCCCAATGACTTATCCAGTCGACCCGCAAATATTATGTTATCATGGCTTATCTTGTCTTTTAAGGGATTTTTTGTTGGACGTATAAAATAATTGGGTTTTCATTAGATTAAACCAAACGAGGCCTAAGATAACTAATAATATGATTAGCTTTAAAAGATGAGGATTCTACCTGTACCATACGCAGTCCAATCGAGGGGGGAAGGTTTGGATTGGAAGGTCGATTTATTCACGATAGCATGCCAATTTCCTTGAGCTTATCTTTGCAATTTTCATTCATTCGATTTCCATTCTTTGAGCAATGTATGCAAAATCAATGAAGCCTCACTGCTCGCTTGACGAGTCGAGTATTGTCCGAATAAGGACAAGTACTTTAAAGCAACATCAGCCTTTGGCGGAATCAACTTGGGCGTAATAATTATGTTCCTCCATTCTTTAAATTTCCCAACTGAACAGACACCGTGTAATAACGCAGCCAAAGTCACCGAATCTGGAGGGAAGCCTTTCTTCGACATTTTATCCGTCAGCTGCAATGCAGTTTCAAGCATACCGTTCAAACAGAGGCAAGCAACGATCGAATTATATGCAGAGGAAACGGGATTCGAACCATCGGTTACCATCTTCCCAAATATATCAAGAAGCATCGGAATTTCTCGATCGGATTCACTCTGTGTACTTGAAACGGGACAAAGGCTATTGTTCAATAATCCATTCACCAAATAATGAAACGTGACGTCGTTCGGATTACACTTGCTCATCAGCATTTCTTCGAAAAACGACGATGCCTTTACGAGCTTCCCCTCTTTACAACTACTACCTATTAGCACAGTGTAAGTCACAACATTAGGTCGTACACCATTTAACTGCATTGCTTTAAGGAAAATTTCGCCTCTTGCAATATTTCCACAACGACAGAATCCACTGACGAGAGAGGTGTAAGTTACGACGTTCGGCGCATAGCTTCGTTTAATTAGACCGCAAAAGACACTCAATGCACCACGCAAATCGTTCTGCTTTATATATCCATCGATAATCGTAGAATAAGTAAACTGATCCGGAGAAATGTTTCGTCGAGCCATTCTTTTAAGGCAAAAGATTGCATCTTTCATCGATCCAAATCTACAGTAGCCCTTAATCATAGCATTGTACCCCACGAGCCCAGGATCCACGCCCCTTTTGACTATGTCATCGAAAAGTTTCTTCGCATCGTCAAAATCACCACTTCTGATGTATCCATCGACCAAAGTGGCATATACGTAATTGTCGGGAGATACATTGTGGTCAAGCATCTCTAGAAGAAGATTCTTTGCTTCATCAAACCTATCTTTTTTGCAAAGCCCGTTCATCAAAACATTGTAAATGCATGCATCGGGCGATATTCCCCTTTCAACCATCTTGTTTCGAATTGTTAATGCAGCATCAACTTCTCCAGCAACAACAAAACCATGTACAAGACCTCCGTAAGTTTTCAAATCGGGTTTTTGTCCACATTCTGTCATATAAACAAGAAGAGTTGAAGCTTTGTCGAAATCTCCCTTCTTGCAATAAGCGTGTATAAGCGGAGTAAAGCTTAGCTTATTGGGGACTAATCCGCAATTAGTTACCTTTTTTAAAATCTTTTCTGCTTCTTGCACATTCCCATCCCTACACGCATTAGAAATCAAAGTATTATACGTCACGATATCCAATTTGCACCCAACCTCGATCATTTTTCTTGTTGTCTCCAACGCTTCCCCGACAAATCCACACTTATATTTAGCATCCAACACATTGTTATACACTCGAATATTTACTTCCATACCCCCCGACTCCATTTCCTTCAAGACTCGATCAACTATCTCAAAATCCCCTCGTTTGCAAAATCCATTAACGATTGCTCCATAAGTCTCTTGGGTCGGCAAGAAACCCTTTGCTTTTAATTCCTCGAGAAGCCCGTAAGCTCTCTCGACATCACCTTTCTTGCAATATCCATCAATGAGAGTATTATAGAACACAATATTCGGAATGCAATTCCTCCCCCACCTCTTCTCAATCAATCTTCTACCTTTCTCGACATTTCCTTCTTTGCACAATCCTTTCACCATTATACAAACACTATAATTGTCCAAACACATACCCTCACTACCACCATCTCTCTTCGCCATCTCATCGTACAAACGCCATGCAGCTTCCATATTTCCATCCATTACTAGCCCATTAAGCAAAGAATTACAGGCCGTTAACCGCGGAAGAGCGTTGTAATTTTTCAAAACAAAGGAAAACAATTCAAGAGCTTTCGAAAGCAGCCCTGATTCTGCATAGTTATGGATTACAACGTCTAAAGCCTCACGAGTAGGCAGCTTCTCTTCACATTGCAAGCACTCCGATAACACGTTGTCTACTTCTATAAACACTTTAGACCTGGCTAAAAGCTTCAGAAACGAAGAATAAGCGAACCCGTCAAGGGAAGAACTGCTTTCAGAGAGAAAACCGAAGAACCTGAGACCCAATTCACAGTCACGAATTTTGTCGAACACTAGGTGGGCAACTTCGGAAGGAGCAATTTCCTCTTCGAAGAAGCGATTTTGGAGGGTTTGTTCCCATTTTTTCTCTTGGGTTCTGAGGATTTCACACACTTCATCTGCCAATCTTTTTATGCGGGGCGTGATGACGAAATTTGTGGGGGTTTTGGCTTTGGGTTGGGGGTGTTGTAGGGGTTTGATGAGGGAGAGAATGGCTTTTGACATGTGAAGAAAGGTGTTTTTTTTTTGGTGGGTTGAATTGTCAATTGAGTTTCCAGGGGGAATTTTATTCAAAAAAAAGAATATTTTTATTTTTTTGATAAATATAAACAAAATTAAATATAAATACTTTGTTATTAATTTGAAACTAATAAATATTATAATTCTTTGGACCCGACCCATGAGCCTCATTGCCCATTGGCCTAACCAGTACGACATGTATTATTATAAGTGTCGTTTAAAGTTAGTGCACATTAATTAAAAAAATTATTAAATAATTTAGAGTAAAATTGACCAAAAAAAATATAATTTGTCCTACCTTGAAATTTTAACTGACTTAATATATCAGAAGAAAAAAATATGCATATGAAACAGAAGAAGTGGATTATAAATTTCCGAAAAATATCTATAAACGATGATATAAAATTACATTTTTTTAAAACACAAAAGGGAGCTAACTTATGCTTCCTTAACATGTATATACTATTTGGAAAACAAAGTTAAAAGGGCAAGGAAGTCTTTTCTCTTCATCTTGTATTATATCTGACTTCTCTCCAGACTTCATTTCATTTCTTCTGTTCGTACAGAAAATGCTTCAAGCTTCTCGATTTCATGCCTGCATCAGAAATCGAAAATACAGACGATTAGCTTAATTGGTGTGTCAGCAAAAACGGTGGCTGATTCAAATTATGCACAGACATGCAATCATCATAAGAAATTAAGAATGTCCAAACACAAAAGATAACGAGAAAACTCGGAGTCTTTATGTACAGTTCTGTGCAGTTTATGTAATAATTGCCATTACTCAAGTGTTTAGAAAAAGTAAGGTGACTAAAAGTCGAGCTTCTTTACAACAAACGCCAACAAGTAAACACAAAAGTCGAGCTTCTTTAACAAGCTAAGTTCGAGGTGATTACTAGGCACTTTATTTACTTGAGTGGTGACTTTTTTGAATATCATGTAAGAAACAACCATTAGCACTTGCTTAGACCAACACTTGAATCGATTTTAACTTACCAACTGCACGGACTTCAGGGTATCAAACTGGAGGCGCATGTATACTGCATTTTCATTCATCACCACAAATCTGAATACAACAACAAATACCCAAAGCATTATTAAACCGCGGGATATTGTGCAATATCAGATACTCGAATCAAAATACTAGATAAACATGCATGTCAAGCATAAAATATTTGTCTAAAAAATAAATTAATATAAAACTTACAGATGGCTGTGCTCTTAGAGCTCTCATATAAACGGGCACTTGATTTGAACGGTACCATAAGTACTGAAGATATCCAATATGCAGTCATTGCCTCGGTACGCTTTGCTCACTAACCAATGAATCTCAATGTAGCTCCCTTTGAGATTCTATATCCGCCATATATTGCAGTATCGAACTTCGTGGTCCAATAAATAAGTTTCAATTTCTTGATAATATCGAATTCATGATCTCAATCTGCGCAGCAGGGAAAGGAGGTACCTTTTTCAGAACAAGACTGTAGATATGCTTAGCCTTATCAATCTTGTCTACTCTTCCATCTTTTCGTAGTCCTTGAAGCAGATTGTTGATCGAGTGCACACTGGGAAACCAGTTCTTCTGCATACTATCTTTACACATAGTGTAAGCCAAGTCGAGTTCTCCCGCTTCGCATAGATAGTGTATCATTGTCTGATAAATTTTTAAATTCGGCTTATAGCCCTCTTTATGCAGAGCAGAGTAAACCCTCATCGCCATTTCAAAAAACCCTGCTCTGCAAAAACCCTTAATCACCAAATTATACGTGACCTCATCGGGGAATTCCGGAAACTTCTTATGACGGCGCATGAAAGCCAATAACTTATTAGCCTCCCACGCACGCCCCTTGTTCACCAAGAACTGAATCCTAACATTGAATGTGGCAACATTCGGAAGACAACCTTTTAACACCATCAAATTCCACAATCCATTTGCAATCATGGGTCGGTCCGCTTTGTAGAAAGCTGCTATGAGGGTCGTATACGTAATAACATCGGGAGTTATACCCAATTTCTCCATCTCAACCATGACTAAATAAGCCTTCTCCAATATGCCCATTTCACAGAAAGCCTTGATAACAATATTAATAGAATAATCATCTAGCTCTATGCCATATCTAAACGGAACATCGCTTAGGAACGACTCGATCGCCGCTAAATCTCGTGACTGAGTCAATACCTTCAAAGCAGCATTGAAAGATTTAACAGTCCTCTTACAACCGTATAAGTGCATATCACAAAACGTGTCAACTGCGTGCTTAGTCATTCCGGCCTTGCCGTAGAGCATTATTATTCGGATTATGAACCCTTCTCGCCGACCCTGCGGCAGAGTCTTTTGATGCTCGAGAATATTCTCGATGTAATCGAGGCGGCGGGCCCCAGCTAACCTAGAAACAGTGTCCTCGAATGCGAAGCGATTTTCGACAACCAATTTATTATGGGCATTGGCTTTGAACAAATGGAACAACTTTTCGGGGTCTTTTTCGTTTTTCAGCTTGACCAGTGCAGGCTCACTTACTTCACTAGGTTTTCGCACACGGTTCCTAGCGGAGCTAGTAGCTCTCTCAACAATGGCGGCGGTGGAAAACCTATGGGGTGCGGTGCCGAATCTGCGAATCAATCGCAGGGTGAGCATGTTCTACAGCAAGCCCCGTATTTCATGCGTACCAATGTTAGTGCTTTTATTTATATTCCACCAGAAAATGCGATTCCCATCTCAGAAAGCTTCAATCGAACAGCAAGCTCAATCAGAAACCAAATAGCTCCTCAAATATAAATATTTAAATTAAAAAAATAAAAAAATATCGATCTTCAATCAAATAATTCTGATCTCGAGAAGGAAAAACGCAATGCGAAATCCGAGCAAAATCACTCAATCGGAAGACGAAATCAATAAAATCCCAAATGTGATTTCCCGAAAGTGGAGATAGATGTGTACGCGGAGTAGCGACGGAATGGCGAGATATACGAATACTGAATGTGCACCGCCGGAGGGATACGGCAGGCCGGCGGCGATATACTTATTTACGGAGGAGAAATGAGATTAACAGATGCCGATGAGAAAACTGGATTAACGTGTGTGTGTGTGTGTGTGTTTACCTCATGGGAGGGGCTTTTAGGTTAGGGGTTTTGGTTTCAGATTTTCTGAACAACTGAGTTGTTTAGTGATCCTCTGTGATCGGTTGCACGATAAGAATTTTCTTCTTGCTTATTTGGTGGAATATTATTGGATATGTAATTTGGCCCAACTAGATGGGTCAAGTAGAAATATTTAATCTTTGTTTTGCTTTCTAGGGCTAGAGATGAACTTGTGTGTGTTCTCTAGCACACTGGAATACTCCACGTGGACTATCTGCTTAATGAACACGAATTTCCTCTTTTACCACGGAAACTTTTGAAGGCCATTTTCAGATGTTATTGATAGAGAAACATTTCAATGGATCATATCTCAATTGACTTTGATATTTTGTTTATGTTAAATGTCAGTTTCAATTTTCTTAATTTCATTTTGAGTTTGAATCTGACTTTTACATATTTATAGTTTGCTTTTGGCAAAATTCGAAACACAAAAATTATAGTCCTTTAAGTTAGCTTTCTAATCCAACTTAAATCAGTTATTTTGGAGATTCAAGTTGAATTAGAAAAGTAACTCCGAAAACTACAAAATTCTATGTATCGCGTTTTGCAAAATTTGGAGTATTGAAATCGAAAAGGTATTAATTACTATTAAAACTCGAACAACATTTATCGCATCCCTTATCAAGACCAATATTTCATTGGTGATATACTAATATAACAAAGGTCCACAACTAAACTCATTATTTAACCATAACATATACAATCAATTTTCTTGATCATGCAATAAAATCACTTATGGTGTACCTGTTATAATAATATTGATATAACACATACATACATACTCATAAAAACAATTTTGAGTACAATTAAAAGCACTAGTTAGATAGTAGATATTGTGGTGTGCAAAGCATAGCAACTACTGTTCACTTAAATAGATGATCACAATTTGGATTCTCAACACAAATAAAAGTATTCAATAATAATACAACAAAATCTAGACTACTAGTCTATTCTTGCAAACATAAAGAACTTAAGTTAAATAAATATCTCTCATGAAAGCTCATCATACAGGAAAACTACCGCAGTCGCCCCTCAACACTAAAGTAGCAAAGCTAATCGAAATACAGATATTAAGGACTAGAATAGAAACGAGTCTTCACGGGACCCGCCAAGAGCCAGCAACTTTAAGATGGCACTGAACACAACAAAGAAAAGAAACCAAGAGTAAGGAAAACGAGATAAGATGAGATACGAGTACCATAATACCAAAAACAATAGCCATCACAAGACAAATATGTAAGACCTTACGTAGTAAATAGAAAGGGGGGAAATAAAATGAAGAACAGTCACAAATGCTGACTATATATTCAACTACTGAATGAGGTTTTAAGAAGACTCGTCGAAATAGAAACCCAATCAGTTTAGGTCTCCTAAAACGTCATACTACCCTCGTTCAAACTACTAAGCAAAACGTACATGAAACTGTAAGATTTGACGAAACATTGCTGGATTAGAAATTTTCATCTTTCTTTGAGAACTCAACCTAACAACAAGAATCAAATCGAGCCCAAAAAGTTCATCTGAAACATGTAGACGGTCTTTGAAATCTTATTTGAGTATTTTTGTTTTTTTCAAAAGAGACACATATGAATAAGTGAACGACTTCAATTCAGAGTTTTACTAAGGTCATACTGATTAGTAGGCTTAGATAGAGTTATAAAACGCAGAGTTGGATATGGAAAAGAGTAACAAGAAAGTTAATCAAATTTGGAGTCTCGTATATAAATAAGACAAGAATAGGGTTGGATGCATACTATATGTAGCAGTATCGATTTGTTCAGGAAGCTCCTTTATATCCACCTCAAACCTCTCTTGAACCTGTAACCAAAAAAGAAGGCATATTTCAAACTCAGAAGCACAATAAAGGTCCACGAACAAAAGGCAGCATAATAAGGATCATTTACCTGATTTAGAACATCAGAATCCGAGGCAGATGATACAAATGTAATAGCAAGCCCTTTGGTTCCAAATCGACCAGCTCGACCCACCTATAATAGCAGGAAATTCAAATAAATATTAAATATGTAAGAAAACAGTTGTGAATGTACTTAAAGCATGTATATTCATTGTTATATTACGTACCCTGTGTAGGTAAGTATCCGCAGAATCTGGCATATCATAATTTATGACAATATTAACACGCTCAATGTCGATTCCCCTTCCAACTAAATCAGTTGCAACTAAAATTCGTTTGAGTCCCTCTTTGAAACCTTTGTAGCGGGTCAACCTTGAGAAGAAATCAGTAGAAAACTATGATCAATGATGTGAAGGAGAACAAATCTGGGAAAAGAAATTAACAGTACAGTTTCTTGTTATATCTCATCTAGTTTTAAAAGTACCTTTCTTCCTGAGACATTCCAGAATGGATACAGATAGATGGAAAGTTGCATTCAACCAGTAACTTGTTTAGTTCAGCTGCTCGGCTGACACTTTTAACAAAAATCACAATCTGGTTAAAATCCAGGGCATCGAGAAGGTCATTCAACTTCCGGTTCTTCTCTAGATCGGTCAGCTTAATGTAATGCTGACAAGAGAAAAGAAAGATATCAATCAAAAAATGCTCATTAACAGGAAGAATGTAAAATCTAGGCGAGTCATATTTACCTGCACAAGCCCATGAAGAGTGAGTTTGGCTTCATCATCCACATAAATTTCCATCGGCTACAAAAAGGACAAAGATGACAAACAATTAAGACATGACCAAAATGTTGCCTAAAGATGCAACGCACAATCACCTGCTAACGAGAAATTGAAAACATGCCCATCTATTGATAGAAGTTGTAACTTCAAATATCTGAAGTTCACATAAAACAAGAACATAACATCTCAAAGCCAATTAAAGTCACTTGAACTAATTGTTGGCTCATCCGCTCTTCTCCCATTGGTTTTCAGGATTAGAGAATGTCCATAAACCGTATCAGTAAGGATAATGCAATGTCCTAAAAAGCCTCCCTACCTCCATCCAAAAGACATCTGAATCACAAAATACTATAATAATACGTGAAGGGAAACAACTTGAATGTGAACAAATACAGGTTACAGAATATTTACGTCTTGCATAAACTTCTTGCAAACTGGACGGATCTCTTTACTGAGAGTAGCTGAGAACATCATCACTTGCTTATCATGAGGGGTCATCTTGAAAATCTCTTGAACATCTCTTCTCATGTCTGAAAAAAAAAATTAACTCCTTAAATATAATGTTGTGCTTGTCATCTCGTCAAACTTAACAGTTGTACTGAACAAGAGAAAGAACATACCAAGTGACTCGAGCATCTTATCACACTCGTCAAGAATAAAGTGCCTCACGTTTTTTAGGCCAAGATCCTTGTCTCGAGCAAGAGCCAAAATTCTTCCAGGAGTTCCCACGACAATATGGGGGCATTCATTCTTCAGTAAATCCTTGTGGATCTTAATGCCGACACCGCCATAGAATACAGCAACTTTAACATCAGGCAAGTAGGTGTTGAACCGCTCAAACTCATTACAAATCTGTCCAGAATCAGAATAAAAGTTACCCCATTAGATTTGATTAACATGTTAGGAATAGGAGAAAATTGTTTTATAGTAGTATACAAGACCGGCATACCTGGTATGCTAATTCTCTTGTATGGCAGAGAACAAGGGCAGCCACTTGACCAGAAACAGGCTCAATTTGTTGCAGGGTGGACAGAACAAAAACAGCAGTTTTCCCCATACCAGACTTTGCTTGACAAATAACATCCATTCCTAAGATAGCTTGAGGTATACACTCATGTTGCACTGAACGAGAAGCAAGAAAATCCGAATGAACGAATCCTCAATTAGTAAAAATGTTCCTCGGGATTCTTTGCATTGAAAGATTTACTAGACCATATTTTGGATTGTAATCAAGAGAATGGATTAGATGTTACCTGCAAAGATATAGAACAGAAATAAAATATTAGAAGTCAAGGTCAAATGCAGGATAAAAAAATAAAATAACTCCACAAGTGCTGAAATGTGCTGGCTACCAAAATTGTTTCTCCTCTAAACCACTCAAACCGAATAATTATGGGACAACCACAGTGGAATCACAAACCACTTACTGCATAAACCAAATAGATAAACTTTAATGCAGACTTAGAAGAGATAAGCACTCGGTAAGCCCCTGTATCAAGATATACCTTCCTATTCATCGCAAAGCTTTATAAAAAATGATTTTTTCTTTAAACCAACAGGTCAATAAGTTAAATTTGCAGAACCCACTGAGTTGAAATCTTATCTCAAAAGGTTAATCATTCAGAGGAGTATATGAACTTGAATACAGTTCTGCTAATTCACTTTTTATTATTATATGCCAAATACTTAAAAACTGTGGCCAGAGTAAAAAAATAGTTTATACCTTCTGAAGGATGTTCAAACCCAGAATCTACAATAGCTCGAAGAAGTTCTGGCTTCAATAGGAAATCTCTGAATCCCGAACTGTGAATCCCAACGTATCCCCTGGATAGACAGGACATTTAGCCAACGTTAGGACGTGATGCAACAAGAATAATGAGAAGGGACTATGTGGTATTATTTAGAGCAAATATGACATCAAAAACTTATACAGTCCCTGTACAAATTTTTCATAATTACTCCGACGATAAAAAAAGACCGGTCTCTACATTCCCTGAACTCGAAACCTCCTATAACTATAAAATATTCATCAAACGCAATTTTGGTAACAGTAACCAATGATAACAATAGGCGCAAAGACACCTAAAACATGTGATACTGCTCTGAAAATAGATAATAAATTCAGAAAAAAGCAGTTTGACATCGTGTTAAAAGACCAATCTCAGGAAATATTAAATTGACATGACAAAGATTCGTTTTTTACAAAAAATTGAAGTACGTCCAATGAGCCTAATCAGTCCAAAATTACTAATGAAGACAAATGTACAGGGAATCCTCAATACGTTTTGCACATGCGTAGAAACCACAAGAACCAGAAACTCTTTGGAATTGCTTTTCACTTTTCAGATAAAAGAGCTGCTTAAACCATAAAACAACACAAAACAAACTTACAAAGGTGTAAACTTTCACAGAGCAGATTTCCCTTCAATTTTCAATTGAACTACTAAATTCTTCAAAATCACCAGTAATTGCTTCAAATTTTCAATTAAACTTTAAACACGATATGGCTTGACTCGTGTATACTTAATTCATCAATATTATCACTACACCCAGGACAAAACTGAGAGCTTCCCAAAATAACACGTCACAAAGATGATAAATATTTATTTAACTCAATTTGACTGACAATATCAAATTCCCCGTTCACCCAACCTACAAATCTTTGTTTTAATTCTCTGAATTAAGACCGAGATTAATAAAGATAATATTCAACATGAAATTGCTTCAATTCAACCCAACCGGCAGATATTTACACATTTAAAGGTAATATTCAACATGTAATTACTCTTACTCCACCAAACATAAACTAAAATTCAAAAATAATTCCGAAAATTACTTTTTGACCGACTCGACGGCGGGCTTGCCGTTAACGGAGTCAGGGGCTTTCTCTTCTTCTTCCTCGTAATCGAGAAGCTCCTCCTCGTACGCTTCGTTTTCCCTTACTTCACCCATAGTTCCTGCTAACCAAACACACCTCCAAAATTTCAGCCGACACGAGTACGAATTGAATTCCAAAATCAAAAATACAAAGTACAAAAAACAAATCTTCTACACAAATTTCAGGCGTAGATTTGTATGCGTACCTTGAGCTTAACTGCGTAAAAAATTGAGAGGGGTGTTGGAGATTTGGAGAAAAACCCTACAAATCTAGGGTTTTGAGCGATAGCGAGAGGAGGGTTACACTTCTGCTACCGGGGAGATATTTAAAAGTAGATTCAAAAAAAAAAATGTATTTGCACTTGGCCCCGTAAAAATATGTTATTTTCAATTGTGCCCCAAATAAATCGCAAATATTGTTTTAGGTGGGCACTTTTGGATCAAATAGTATACAAAAAGAAATAAATTCTTATATTAAAAAATATAAGAATTTAACCATAATACAGAGAAATAAAATTTTGATGATGTAAAAGTTCAAAAAACAATTATCTTTTTTTGAGAGGTTGAAAATTCAATTTTAGTGGGCTTCAAATTGAAAAGGTTTACAATTTACAATTTGCCCATCAAGCAAGTTCGGCCCAAGAAAACGAGGCCCACGGGATGGCATCGCGCACAAGCAACCAAACCGAGAGAGGCCAACGAGTAACTCTTGCAGGCAAGGGAAGCGGCGAGTAAGCTGAAACGGCGATAGGCTAGCCGAGTGTAAGGGAGCGAGACAACCCGTCATCTAAATTATGTCACAACATTGAATGCACGTGCTATCAACTGTTAGATTCAGAGAATGTTTGTTGCCTTTGCACATGCAATTATTTCACTAATTAGTTCGAAGTGACATAGTAAATATAATTGAAAGGTTATTTGGAGTTCGAAGAACACTCATTACTACTAGTGAAATCGTAAAATCTATAAACTATCATAGGAAAAATACTAACTTGACCTTTCGAAGTGCTAACCTTGGCATAAGTCTGAATTCTCCTTCTCTTATATTGCAGATCCTCCTCAAACAAACACCAACCCTTTTGTGTGTCAAGTGCGACGCACGTACTATTTTCCGTTCATACTAATTGGACAAGTGGACGGAGGACAGAAACAACATAAAAAGTGACATGTTTAAGGATGAAAATTGTATGTATAGGAACGAAAAACGAGTAAATGGCAAAGTATAGGGACGGAAAAGTGTAATTATCGCCTACCAAATGCAATCATAAATCATATAAATACATTATATATATATTACATACATACATATTTATATATATACTTATTATGATGACTCTATGATTAGAAGATAATAAAGGACTGAAAGAAGGGTGTAACCTAAGAATTACAGCATAGGCTAGTGCAATAAGTACAATATTTATCTCTCAAGAAACTTTAGTACTGATACAAGCTTCAATCACACAACACTGCAGGAAAAAATAGCCAAAAACGCAATTAACGTGGTTTTTTCTTTTTTCGATTAGCAATTAACATTTTCAGTGAATTGCACAACAGTTGCAGAACAAGATTCTTCTCCTTCGTAATCTGTAAGTGATGTCCGTCGATTAGAACTCAGTCGGGGGTTTCAATCGTATGAGTCGTTTGATTCTATCTTTGTCAGTATTCTCCAACATACCCTACAAAAAAAAGTTCATTTTTTAATTACTGATTTCCAAAATATAACTATTTTGATGGAATATGGAACTATAAAAGAGCGACAAATATCCAACATAATATACAAGAATTCATTTATGAATATGCTTCATTAGAACGGCAACTTGCATTCATCTTTTAATCAAGAAACGTTACTTGAGATCGTCTCATTGACAGATGCTCGTAGTTCAACAAATTATCGAATTACTAGTAAGAATTTCACAGTACTATAATACTATATTTATAATGCTATTTACCTTCCACACAATCTCATCCAAGCACAGGCATATTTTGCCGTATTTGTCGAGAAAAAGGCGTTCTGTCGGAGGTTTTCCACACACATCCTTCAGTGCTGCGGTTATAACGAAGATAGCTTCTGCCACTGGATCAACAAAAAGCCAATAAAATAATTTTAAAAAAAGATCAAATGGAATTTTGTTGTGACATATTTGGAACGAGATTCTCAAGAAATCCTAGTTCCTTTAATGAAGAAAGAAACAGGGAAACTAGGTGCTAATAATACTCCTGTACAGTTTTACTAAAGATTAAAATCATATTCACTGCATTTATTTTCTTGCATCTTGTATACAACAAAAAGGCAGATAAACGATAAACTTACATGCAAGTTCGTCGTATTCATCCTTTCCAACAACAAATATACTGACATCACCCAGCACCGTGTATACAATATACACAGACCTGTCCAATAAAAAAACCAGCTACAGCATTAGGTACTCGTAAAAGTACAGAAAACAAACAGTAATATTAACCTTTATAGATTTTATTTATTACAGATCGACTTTACAACTTCACAAGCAAGGGAAAGAAGAGGCAGCTTTTGCTTCTCTGTAGTAATAAAACAAAAACTTATACAAGTTAACCTTAGGTTGTTTTCGTAATCCGAAATTCAAATACGTACACACAAAATCATTGATGGAGCAAAAGGTACAGTTTCAGATCAATCTCTAAACCAGATTAATATACATTCCAACTCAAATACAACACATCAATCACTGTGACTGTTCAGCATTTCGATATCTGACGGAAAATTCGGACTTGTAACCATGAAATATTCTTACCCACGAAAAACGAAATTCGAAAGAACATAAAAAAAAAAAATCTCCGGAAAAAAATAAAGAAATGGTTACATACTTGTGATTAGCAACGAGGAGCTCCTCATTCTTAACTCCTCTAAGATTATCTGCTCCCAATTTCACCAAGAAAGATCTCCAATGTAATCGCTCCTCTGGTGGAACTCCATTGAAACTACACAATACCAATAAAATCAAATAAAATAAAAAAAAAAAATTAAACCCTTTAATCATCAAGCAATTCTCCTAATCTCCACAAATTAACACACACCATGGAAAAATTGATCACAATATAGTGAATCAAAGTCTTAGATTAATTTATAGACTGCAAAAACAATCCCAAATTTTAGCCCTTTTAACAGTTTTTTTATTTTAATTTTTTATTTTTTTACCATTCCGGATCTTAAATACAGATAGCAGAAACATACATCCGATTGCATAAATCCGACAACTATAAACTCTTAAACACGCGCAGATCAACTTGGAAAAGGAATCGGAGCTTTAATTACAGAAAAAAATGAAAATGAAAATGAAACGAAGATCAATAATTTCACAGCGCAGATCAAAATTACGAGACATTACTACTGAAAGAAAAAAATGGGTGTGCATTGGAGAAAGTGAGATTACCGTTCGACGAGAATATTCCCTTCGGAATTAGCTATCAACACCGCCAGCAACATCTTTGTTTCTCACCGGAATCTGTAGCCGGGCTAACTATTATTGCGCAGAGTAAAAGCGTGCTGCTTGTTAACGCGATTTCTGTTGTCTGCGGTGTTTATTGAATTCAGTCAACCGGAAAAATGAATACTTTTGTTCATCAAATTTAACCTTTTAAGTTTTCCTTTAGTTTTCAAATAAATTACTTTTAAGTAGGAACTTTACAAAACACGTTTTGCATTATATTTTCTAATACTATTTATCATACAAATTTCTTTATATGTCAAAAATGTTTTTTTTTAATATATACATATATAGATATCCGTTCAAGTCCAGTAGAACGTCGATAAATTAATATCACATATTAATCATATCGTTTAAATAATATTTTGTTTATCAGTTATGACTTGGGAACAACGTGCTAAATTATAAGATAATACATATTTTAAAATTCTTATACACCCCATCTAGTATATAAATTAATCATGTATAAAAATAACTTCAAATACATGGTACCTTACAATATATGATTAGATTTTCTTCTATTTCTTGTTGAAGTTGATAATATCACATTAAAGTTAATTCATTACGTTTCTTAATATCGGAAGTACTTTCAGTGTACTTTTATCATATAGCTTAACAATAAATTGTTCACTAACGTTGTTGATTTAAAAGTTTCAATTTGAAAAACGGATTAGTATCATTTTCAAATGGCAGCGAATATATGCAAGACGGAAATTACTAAGTGCAAGACCTTACTTCATGCATGACCAAAATATAAATAAACTTACTAAGATTAAGACTGGAAATTACAAATATAACCCCAATATTAATTTAGATACTATTAATTCAAATTAGGCTAATTACTATTGCAAGACCAAAAAAAACAAAAAAAAAAAAAAGGAAAAAAACGAGAGGGAACTCATTCCCCCAACAAAACCCCAACATCTTCTTCTTCACACTCATTTTACACATTTTTTTCCACAAAAAAATCTTCCATATTCTCCAAAACCCTCATCACACAAGACCCTCAAATCTTTACTAAAACTTGAAAAGAAGGACAGTATGGATACACAAGACATAAATATGGAGGATTTTAAGGTCGAAGAACACAAAGAGGTAAGGAATATTGTACTTTGTGATCGTTTTTCTCGTTTTTCGCACCTTATTTCACGTACAAAAACTTCGACGTGTACATGTCGAAATATATTCCGAATATCGACACTCTAGTGTCGAAATTTTCAACATAAATCGACACTCTTTTACTGTCGATTTTTATTGAATTTTTCGACACTCTAGTGTCGATATTCGGTGCATATTTTGACACTGATGTGTCGATTTTTCACTGTTACAATTGTGTAACAAAATTTTCGGTTTTTCTTGCAGACGGCGACGGCGACGGGGCGACGACGAAGGGGCGACGGCGAAGGCAGCGACGAGTGCTGCAACTGTTTTTTTTTTTTTTCTTCCCTTCTTCCCTCCTTCTCGTTTTTCAATTTGCTTTTTCTTTCTTTGTTTATTAAATTTTTATTTTTTAAATTGGTCTTGCAAAAGTAAATTGATAAAATGGTTTTTATTTTGTTTGTATTTTATTAAGGTTATTATAGTCTTTTTATACTTAATTTGATAAAAAAAATTAATTTGATCTTACCCTAAGTAAAATTGTGATTGGAAATAGTCGCTGCCTTTTCAAATCCATTGTCTCTATCATTTGTCATCATACTCTCTATTATTTACACGTCGTTAAACATTTCTAAAGTTACATTATTTTCTTTAAGATAGCTTAAGATATATTCCACATCCATTTTGTTATGACTATTAAACTCATTGATTAGATTGTGCAGCTCGTAGGTAATTTTACTATTAAAGGGTGCGTCCATATATTTTTTTATAATATTTATTGAAAATTTCACAAATTAATAAGTTATTAATTAATATATGATATATAATTATTAATTTACAGATAATTTAATATCTCGTTAAATTAATATAATTACGTCGGTCCCAACTTTATTAATTTATATAGTTGAAAGTGTAAATACAAAATCGAGAGAGGTAATAATGGAGAAAATAGTACATATTTTAAATTTAATGGATAAATAAATAATGAGGAAAAACAATTTAATATATTTTCCCCCTAAATCAGTCCGCCGCGGAAATACACAAATTAATAGGATCACAACTCCAGAGAGAGTTTCTCGCTCCACTCTCATCAATCCACATAGCAAAATCGGATCGCGCTTCCCATTTTATTATGACCACCTTTACTAATATTTCATTTCGTAAGTTTTTCTTCTTCCGATCACCAATCATTCAAAAAATTCTCATTCCTGAAGAAAAAAAAAGGTTGGGGTTTTGATTTTTTTCCGATTGATTTTTTTTGTTTACAGGTGAAACACAACAATGGCACATATATTGCTTCATGGAACCCTACATGCCACCATCTGTGAAGTCGATAAGCTGCACGGCGGCGCCGATGGAAATTTCTTTGGCAAGGTATTCACTCAACTTTGATCTCTGTTTATTTTTGCCTAGCTCAATTTCATGTTTTTTTTTTTTTTTGAATTTCACTGTAATTTTTGTGGTTTTTGTTCTGTTAAAGATTTGATTTTTATTCGATGTGAGTGTAGATAAATGTCATATGTGTTTTTGATGTTTATCCCTTGGTGTAAAAAATGATCTTGCAGCTTATGGAGAACATCGGAGAGACTGTTGGTATAGGGAAAGGGACTCCCAAAATATACGCAACCGTCGATCTCGAGAAGTCCCGAGTTGGACGGACGAGATTGATCGAAAACGAGCCCAACAGCCCTAGGTGGTACGAGTCTTTCCACATCTACTGCGCTCACATGGCCTCGAGCGTGATCTTCACCGTCAAAGACGCAAACCCCATCGGCGCAACCCTGATCGGGCGAGCGTACGTGCCCGTCCACGACCTTCTAGATGGCGAAGAAATCGACCGGTGGGTCGAAATCTTGGACGAAAACAAGAATCCCGTTCCGGAAGGTTCCAAAATCCGCGTCAAGCTCCAGTTCTTCGACGTCACTCGAGATCGAAACTGGGCCCACGGAATCAAAAGTCCGAAGAATCCCGGCGTTCCGTACACCTTCTTTGCTCAGAGACGGGGTTGCCGTGTTTCTCTTTTCCAAGACGCGCACGTCCCGGATAAATTTATACCCAAAATACCCCTCTCCGGAGGGAAGTATTACGAGCCACACCGATGTTGGGAAGATGTTTTCGACGCGATCATGAACGCGAAGCATTTGATCTACATCACGGGGTGGTCCGTGTACACCGAGATCGCGTTGATAAGGGACTCGAGGAGGCAGAAGGCAGGTGGCGACGTCACATTGGGCGAGATTCTCAAGAAGAAAGCCGACGAGGGCGTTAGGGTTTTGATGCTCGTTTGGGATGATAGAACCTCCGTGGGGTTGCTCAAGAAAGACGGTTTGATGGCCACACACGACGAAGAAACTGAGCAATTTTTCCAAGGCACGAACGTGAATTGCGTTTTGTGCCCTCGTAATCCGGATGATGGTGGAAGCTTCGTGCAAAATTTACAAATCTCGACTATGTTCACTCATCATCAAAAGATCATAATCGTCGATTCCGAAATGCCTCAAGAGGGTTTCGGAAGGAGGAGGAGGATCGTGAGCTTCGTGGGGGGCCTCGACCTCTGCGACGGGAGGTATGACACCCCGTTCCACTCGCTATTCCGGACCCTCGACACGGCCCACCACGACGACTTCCACCAGCCGAACTATGTGGGGACCGCGATCACCAAAGGTGGACCCCGCGAGCCGTGGCACGACATCCACTCGAAATTGGAGGGGCCCATCGCGTGGGACGTCCTATTCAACTTCGAGCAGAGGTGGCGGAAGCAGGGCGGCAAGGACCTACTCCTCAAGATCGCCGAGCTCGATGATGTCATCATCCCACCGTCTCCCGTCATATACCCCGACGACAACGACACATGGAACGTTCAATTGTTCCGGTCGATTGATGGTGGTGCCGCTTTCGGATTCCCGGAGACACCTGAGGAGGCAGCCGGGGCGGGGCTCGTGAGCGGGAAAGACAATATAATCGACCGAGGGATACAAGATGCGTACATACACGCGATTCGTCGGGCGAAGAATTTCATATACATAGAAAATCAATATTTCTTGGGTTCTTGCTTTGGATGGGATTGTGACGATATTAAGGTGGAGGAAATTGGGGCACTTCATCTTATTCCGAAGGAGCTCTCGTTGAAGATCGTTAGCAAGATTGAGGCGGGGGAGAGATTTACTGTTTACGTGGTGGTGCCGATGTGGCCGGAGGGGATTCCCGAGAGCGCGTCCGTTCAGGCGATCTTGGATTGGCAGAGGCGGACGATGCAGATGATGTATAAGGACATTGTGTTGGCTCTTCGAGCTAAGGGAATGGAAGACGAGGACCCGAGGAATTACTTGACGTTTTTTTGCCTTGGAAATCGAGAGGTGAAGAAGAGTGGGGAGTATGAGCCCGCAGAGAAACCGGAGCCCGATTCGGATTACTTGAAAGCTCAGGAAGCTCGACGGTTTATGATCTACGTCCACTCCAAGATGATGATTGGTAAGAAGTATAATATATTTTTTCTACAGCTTTCTTTGAAAAGTTACAATTAGGAACGTGGAAATCGTACGGATCAGATTGGAATTAACACTTTCCAAAAAATTCCTATCTTTTCGGGAGTGAAAAAATAATTCCAGTCGAGTTCCAAAAAAATGTGGAAAAATCCAAAATTTGGCATTTCAAAAATTGGAAAGGAAAAACTTGTTGCAAGATTGGAAATTTTCGGATCGGAATCCGCGGAATTCCGAACGTTCATTTTTTTGGTGAATTATATTATAAAATACATAATGATATTAATATTACAAGTGTAATTTAAAAAAAAAAATCGGATTTTTCTGAATTAGTTTTTGAAAATTAAAAAAATGTATTCAAAATCGAAATTTGTTCCAAAAGTTCAGAAAAATCGAAAATAGGAATCCGGAATGAAAAAATATTGTTCCAAAATCAGAAATATTCACATCGAAAAATTTGTCTCGATTTCCACCCCTAAAAGTTTGAGATATCGAGATCACGAGATAGTATGTTTTCTTATGTCATGCAGTCGATGATGAATACATAACATTCGGATCTGGATTGGCAAAATTTTGAAACTCCATTCCAATTCCCACCCCTCGTAACAACAGTTTAAGAAATCGAGATAATACATTTTTTTTTATGTCTATGTCATGCAGTTGACGACGAATACATAATAGTTGGATCAGCTAACATCAACCAACGATCAATGGACGGTTCAAGAGACTCGGAGATAGCAATGGGAGGCTACCAACCCTACCACCTGGCGGGGCCGAGGGGCCCCGCGAGGGGTGGGGTCCACGGGTTCAGGATGGCCTTGTGGTACGAGCACATGGGCATGCTGGACGACTCGTTCCTCCATCCTCAGAGCGAGAAGTGCGCGAGAAAAGTGAACGACATAGGCGACAAGTATTGGGATCTCTACTCGGGGGATGAGCTGGAGCGGGACTTACCGGGGCATTTGCTCCGCTACCCGATCGGAATCTCCGGAGCGAGCGGCGAGGTGTCGGAGCTGCCCGGCCATGAGTTTTTCCCGGACACGAAGGCTCGTGTGCTCGGTGCTAAATCGGATTATCTCCCTCCGATTCTTACGACCTAATTAAGGTGTACCGGAATAGGCTTTAAGTTAAATAAAATACTATGTGAGACTTAACTTATATGTTTGCTTCTTTTACATGGATCTTTTTGCTTTTTTTTTTCTTTTCTTTTTTTCCTTGGACGAAATTTTGTTTCAAAATTTGTTGACTGATTGAAATCTCTTTATATCAAGTTTGATATAATCTTTTCAACCCCTAGCCATATTATAGCCAAGTAAAATGAATAGTTCTTCCTTCTTAAATTTTTTGCTGTACTATAATATATATATATATATATATATATATATCTCTATATATCTATCTATATATAT